TTCGAGCGCTCTTCCGACGGCAGAGGTAAAGTAGCCAAACTCCTAAAACATCCGGGTAGGCCGCCCGGCACAGCGCGCTACCAAGTCACCGTAAGTTGATGCACTCTCTCTGGTTCTTTCTCTCTCAGTCATCGGTGACTTAACTACAGTTTGCATGCCCAGTAGACACGTTTTTTCAGAAGACGTTTTGGCCCAGCAACGAGACCACCAGTAAAACAACCACTGGCGCACTCCTGTCGATTAATAGTGAACAACCGTGGGTAGTGTAGAAGCTTTATAATTAAAAATAGACCTGCTGCTGATGAAGACACTACTTTGGGGTGGGCAGCGCGTGTCCCCGAAGGCTGGGAAAATTTCCAACATAATAAAGCATTTAGTCGTGAATGTAATGGATAATTTTTAGGATGTTTCAAGAGTAGCCACAGAAGCATCTATTTCAAGATCACTGCATAAGTTCCACCGCGTAAATTAAGTGTTGGGACTTTAGCGCTTGCAAAGTGTACCCATCTAGGCGTCCGCAGTGGTTGTGGTGGCTGTACAAAATTTGGCAGGATTGTCTTTAGAAGTCCTATTTAACTTTGACCTATAATAATAAAGTACTTTTACATTTCCAGTAGCCCGACTTTCACTTTTTGCGTTAAATTCAGCCAATATAAGGTCGAATTTCCATCAGTAGGCCTCAGTTGCCTGAGCAACAGGAGTTTATACTGATAGAGTTGATTCTATTTAGCTCTTTGAAACAATTATAAGTGGCTTTAATTTAATATTTTCATCACTTTCAACACAATTAAATATTCATTTACACTCGTTAACCAAGAATTAAATGTTTAACCACCGATTCCGTAAGGCAGTTGGGCGGGGGGAGTAGATATTTTGGCGGCCCTACAAAACAGTTTTGCTCATTTTTGACTGTGCAAGGTTTGCACCGAAAATTACATTTATTGACTTGGGTTATTCGAGATTTGTCGACCAGTATGATTCTATATTTTACGGTTTAGCACTCCTCTCTTCTTTCTGACCCAATTTTATCTTCTCCTCACACTAAAGGTTGACGGAGTTCGCGATGTATTTTGATGGTACTCACACCCGAGAAGAACCTCCTTCCGTCTTTGCATGTGACTTTCCGATGCATTTCGCGTTCTTTCTGTACAAATAAACTTCCAGCAACTGCTCTACCAATGGTTTAAGTTCTGTGTGTAGGCGAATAAGAAGATTCACAAAGAAAATGCGTCCACCAATTTGTCCTAACAGCAAACCGAAATTGCGCCGTCCACTTCGGCCGTAGGACTTTAGTCCACTTACGGATGGTCAACATGTGATCGAGAATCTTTACCGACCAAAGCGAAGTCTGTGAGAAAAGACCTGATGGGCAAATCTAAACCGAACCCGATATATCTCATTGGTAATCGAGCTAACGCTCTACCATTGAGAGCTACCATGACGGTTACGTACAAGATGAACACCGCTCCCGTGTGATTACTCCCATTCGCGGCCGACAAGATGTGAACTCGTGGCTCAGTGGCCTGACCACTTGCGCCTCGGTTAAAAACTCGAATCGTCCCCGTCAGGTTTGGCAGCGCAAGGACGGCAAATTTAAGAAAAACGTGCCGACGAAGGCCATATCGCCTGTCCCACACCACGACCCTCGAGTGGTGCTGGAAATGACCGGCTGACGACAACTAATAAGCCAGAAATGGCCATTCTAGTCTCCCTTTTGTTTGCCGGCAATATTATCTGCCTATCCTACTAGCTGCTGTCAGGGCCCGAGATATGAGGCCCAAGGCAAATGCGGAGCGGGACAAGTGAGTCTCGTTAACGGTCGGTGAACGTTCATCGACTAGAATCACTCATTGATGGTCTGGATCGTCAGCCTACCTACTCGAAGACCAGACCTCTCCTCTTCCGGCTTATATAAGTTGCCTTGCTGCCCAGCAGAATTAAATGGCCTGAACCAGTGACGGGCAGAGGCGGTTGTTTCAATTCCATCTTCCTAATAATACAACGGTGTTATACTGAGTACCCAAG